CTCCACTTCCCTTCCCACCCAGCCCCAATTTTCCTCCCCTCTGATCCCAGGATCTGCTGCCTCCCAGGGAAGATGAAATATTCAGCGATTACAGTCAGTAAGCCCTAAGCATATGCAAATGGATCTTTTTGAGAAGGCTTGTATCCTGGCTAAATTCAGATGCTTTGTCATGCAAATGGAGAAAGACACATCTCTGGAATCAAATCCCTTATCCTTTTATTTTTCAACCAGATTTCAAGTGTTTTGAAGGAGAGGGGTATCATTGGTCTTCCACGGTAAAAGTTGAGAAAACTTTTAAAACAGTGGAAAACACCTATTGTTTTTTCCCAATTTTCAAAATGGGCCACCTTTGAACTGAACTTTTACACACCAAAAAAAGTTAAATGAATCAGCACAAGCCTTAAACATTGCACTGTAACTTTTCCACCCAAACAGTGGAAGTTTGGCAAAGTTACTGAAATCTTGGCTGCTTTAATACTTGTGACAGTATCATATGCCTGTAATTTAAGCAGAAGTAATTTCTTCTGTTTAATCTGAATGGCAGCACATACATTTCCTGAAACATTGTCATGTGCTCCCAAGACACCTGTGCAGAGTAAATGAGCACCTGAAGCACATGGCCAATAATAAATACTGATAAATAGCTACTATTTCCAGAACCCTCCCTTCTGCACAGTTTACTAAAATGTATATTCTTGTAAAATGCCTGATGTTCACAGACTCTCTGAGCAGCACAACTGCAACTTTCACAAGTCAGACCTGATGGATTCATGTCAAACCCAAACTTTATAAAGCAGGCAGGATTAAACTACCAGATTTGTCTTCAGAAGCGGAGGGGGGGAATTAATGCATCTTTTACCACCAAAACCTAAAGAAACTAGCTGGCCACTTCCCAGGGATGAGTAGCAAATTCAACACTGAAGCCAGTAAATTGTTATCTGAATCTTATGTTTACAGTAGCTTCCAAACATTGCAGTTAAAAGGTGACTTAACTATGTAAAGTCGTGCAATGCAGTCTTTTCAAATCTGAGGGAGGGAAAAAACCATGAAAGAAGACACCCAAAGAATTCCACTCATACAAAGGAACTGAACACACAAACAGCCAACCTCTCAAAACAGACCTGAAGAGAAGCAGTATTTTGATAAGGCATCCTTTTATAACAAATTAAGTCACAGTCTCTAGTCATCCAGTTAGTTTTTAACCAGAATCTGGGTGTCTGCCAAGCCCCAAGAAGGTTTAGGACTTCTTGGGAAGAGGACTAGTTTGGAAGACCACTGGAATATGAAGAAAACTGAACTCAAAACATATATTCCCACCAGAACTTAGTTTTCCTTATATGTTTGTTAGAACTGCTTTTCTACATATATATTTTCAACTTGAAGTATCGTTTATATATAAACAGGTATATACATTTGCAAAGGGAACTTGTGTGGTCTGGTCCGTTTTTTTCCACAAAGACTAAAAGTTTAGAGAGTTTCACCATTCAGTGAAGTGTTGTCAGGTCCAAATCTGAAATAGTCCTATTTCAAGGAATAAGAGGGGGAAAAAATGAAAAAAAAAATATTCATAGTTACTGTGAAGAGGTAACAATAGAGGATGTGTGGATACTTTTTAGTCTTTTTTCCTTCGACAATGTAGTCAGGTCTGAGGTGCTGCCAGCACAGTGGTGTGGTGAAGAGCTACTGTTTAACACAATTTTTCCATCCTTGAGCAACCGGGATGGACACAGCCCAAAATTAAGGCACAGCCGTTCCAGAGTGAGAGGAAGGGGCACAAAGACTCCTGTGATTTTTGTCTCTTCGCCTTCCCCATGCCTCACAGGTATCATGTGCCCTCACCTTCAGTGTTTTACCCAGCTCTGCTGTGCTGCACCTCTCTGGCACAAAATTGGGTATCGTGGCCCCCAAATTCATCTACCCACACTTCACACGTGTTGTGAAGCTAAATAACACAGGTGGTTTACCCCAGAGGTCGAGCAGGAGGCACAAAGAGAGGGACCATAAAACAAATGCCATCTTGGAACTGAAAATTTGCCAAGGGCTATTACAAATGGCTGGCAAAACTTTGTTCGTTTTTATAGTAATTACATAACCTCAAAGGACACAAATACTGAATGCAGCACACAGCAAGACACCGTGCTACAAGACACACTTGGCACTGGGTTGTTCTGTAAAATATATCACAGCAAATATCACAAACAGCAGCTGAACAGCACACATCTTTTCCACACTTGGTAAATAAGCTTTTCACACCCTGGTCCTCTCAACTTGCACACATCCTCATGGGGAACAGACATGGTCCACATAATCAGGCCATTAAAAACTGAGGGAGTGTAATTTTTAAAAAAAATTTATTTCCTCAATTATTACAAGTGTATTTTGGAGATTGGTTACTGGGTACATATTTTAGGCACTTAAAATCTTGAGGAGACACGCCAGTGTTCAGTTGAATATTCTGTTCTAAAAACTTTGATATTAAACATAATTATAATCCCACTCTTCTTGATTAAGTAAGTACTTATTGTATCAGTCAAACATATGTATTTTTCTCTGTGGTTTCCAAATTAACACAATCTCATGCAGAAGTCAGAACCATATTTTTGTAGAGATATTTAATTTGACAGCCACTTCTTTTTGAGCGAAACAAAAACTCATTCATTACCTTGGGACAAGCATTTCATGGCTGTAAAACAATGTCCTAAGAGGGGGGAAAAATGCAATCACAGTTTTTTGGAAGTCAGAAAGAAAGCATATGAAAATGGCGAGGATGTGATCGGATAAGAAGAAATTTTAACAGAAGAAATACCAAAAAAATCTGGAATGTAGACTATACACAATGGTATTCCATACCATAAAGCAAGTCTTAAAGTGTTTTTGGTTTTTTTTTTCACTGGAGGAAGGAGGAGAGGGGTAGAAAGAGGATGCCTCTAACTCCCAGCTGAGTGAATTTGTAAGTAGATGCAACCATGAAGTTTCTGACCTGTCAGGTCCACGATCTAAAACCAAACCATTTCAGTGTTTTGCATAAAATAATCTGCACGTGAGGAGCCCACAGTTCCAGCTGCTGGTTCTGAGTGGGAGACAACGTGTATTTAAATCGAACAGCACCATCTAGCAGGTCCTCACAACTTTACTTAGGAGGGCAGTTGCTACTTGACAATAAGTCAGTTTGGCAAGCTTGCCCTGAAAATTATTAAGCATGTTCAGACCAAATGAAATATTATGTGCTTTACAACACCAAGAACCCCGAAGAGAAATCAGCTACAATGAAAGAGTACGATTGAAAACTGTTTAAAGTTTCGTCCCCACGACCAGAGCACTTGTGTGTGTGGCTTGCCCTGGGTAGCTGTTGCAAAGCACAATTAAAACAACATGATCTCCATCTGATCCGATGCACAGCAGCCCGATGGATTTGTTTGCAGTCCCACTGTGAGATCCCACTGTGCCCTTCAGTGATTTACCGAGTGTATTGACAAACACCAGCAGCCATGTACCGCGAGGAAATGGTTTAATTCCCTAATTTTGCTAAGACAAAATAAACAGTGCTTCCACGAGCCGGTCAAGCAATTATTTTTAAAATTATCCCTCCACTGGAACTAAGAAGTGCCACTAGTTGATCAGTTGTGTCGCCCGCTCCATCTCAGCAATTAACTCTTGCCGGCAGGGCTGCCTCTGCCTCCCTCCACTTTCCCGTGGCAAAGTTAGGTGTGAAATTGTCAAACGCCTTAAATTTCCCTTCTCCTGTAAAAACAGAGATGCCTGGCCTGCTGCTGCTGCAGGAAGCGTGCATGCCAGCCTCTGGAATTAGGAAGTCTTGAAAAAGAAAAAAAAAAAAAACAAGCACCCAACCAAACAACCAAACAACACCAAAAATAAAAAACGCACGAAAAGAACTAACCCAACATTTAAAAAAAAAAAAGGCAAAAAACCAAATACAACCATCAAACTCAAAATTCCTAAACTCAAACACCCCCCACCCAAAAAAAAAAAAAAAAAAAAAAAGACCCAGCGAACAAAAAAAAAAACTTTTGGGTGAAGGTTCAAGACAAGCTGCCTGAAGGGAAACTCCTCGGCCGTGCCCGGAGCGCAGATCCCGGTGCTGAACCCGCTCTGGAGCGATGCGATTTTTGGAACACAGAGGTGCGAACCTGGTCTCTGGCAGGAGGTCTCCGCCTGCGGACCCCCTCAGCAGCCTTACCCCGACCTTCCCACCCCCGGTACACTTCGTCCCCCTCCTCTTTTCTTCCTCCTCCTCCTCCTCCTCCTCGCACGGGCTCTTCCTCCCCCTCCACCCGCACCGTGCCAAACCGGCCTCGGTCACGCCAAGTCGCAGCCGCTACAGGACAACTTGAGGAGACGCCGTTCCATTCCCAAAGAACTGCGTTTTCCTGCCCGTTCTCCCGGCGGTGCCCATGCCGGGGGCACCCCCAGCCCTCCCCGCCGGGCAGCGGGCAGGAGAACGCCGGAGCGCGGCTCGCCCGGGGCGCGTTGCGCGCAATTAGAAATAAAAAAATAAATCATAAAGCAGCATGAGTTGGGGCAGGCAGCGGGAGCCCGGCCGGCCCCAGGCGGGGGGCGCGGTGCCCGCTCCCCTTTGTGCGGCGGGGCGGGCGCCGAGCCCCCCGAGAGCGAACAATGCGGGGGGGCCGCGGCAAAAGTTGCGAGGCGGCGAGTTGGGACGCGGCCCCGGCCCCCTGCCCGGGCTCTTTGTTACCGGACGGGGTCCCGGCACCTTGCGGGGCCGAGCCGCGGGGCGGGCACGGCGGGGCAGCGTCCCGGCCGAGCCGTGGGGGACCCCCCCTCCGCTACCCTCGCCGAGCTCGGACACCGCGTCCCGGCGCGGGGAGCCCCCCGAGCGCGGCCGCTGCCCCCCGCGCCCCCTTCGCCGCGGAGCGCCGCAAACTTTTGTGAGGGGGCCGCGCGCGCGGGGCCGGCGGGCGTGGGGCGGGAGAGCGCGGTGGGGTGTGTGCGGTGCGGGGCGGCGGGCGGGGGGCACTCACTTCTCGCGGGCCTGGCTGTCGGACGGGACGCTGCTGTTGCTCTTGCCTTTGCCGTACATGCCTGCGGAGAAGCTCCCGACTGTCACGCACCTGTCAACCCATCACCGCCTCCCCGGGACCGGCCCCGTCGCCACGGTGACGGGCGCCACACGCGCCCGCCATTGGCCGGGCCCGCCCCCCGCGCGGTGATGGACGGGGCGCGCATCCGGCCGGGAGGCGCGCGGCCNGCCGCCGAGCGGGGAGCGCGCCGGAGAGACGCAAAGTGCGGAGCGGAGCGGGGATGGCGGGCCGGAGCGGGCCCAGCCGCGCCGGAGCGCTCGCCGCCGGGCCCCAGCCGGACCGTCCCCAGCAGAGAGCCCCCCAGCCCCCCAAAGCACCCGCGAGGGTCTCTGCACACCCCTCACCCTCACGCCCAAGGGTCTCCTCACACCCCTCACTCCCCAGGGTCTCTTCACACCCCTCACCTCCGAGGGTCTCTTCTCACCCCTCACCCGTGAGGGTCTCTTCATGCCCCTCACCCCTGAGGGTCTCTTCTCACTCCTCGCCCTCGAGGGTCTCTTCACACCCCTCACCCCTCATCCCCGAGGATCTGTCTCTTCACACCCCTCACCCACGAGGGTCTCTTCTCACCCCTCACCCTCAGGCCCGAGGGTCTCTGCACAGCCCTCACGGCCGAGAGGGTATCTTCTCACTCCTCACCCTCGAGGGTCTCCTCACACCCCTCCCCCCTCATCCCCGAGGGTCTGTCTCTGCACACCCCTCACCCCCGAGGGTCTCTTCTCACCCCTCTCCCGCGAGGGTCTCCTCACACCCCTCACTCCCGAGGGTCTCTTCACACCCCTCACCTCCGAGGTTCTCTTCTCTCCCCTCAACCCTGACGGTCTCTTCTCATCCCACCCCCCTCACCCCCAGGGTTTCTTCACACCCCTCCCCCCTGAGGGTCTCTTCTCACTCCTCACTCCCGAGGGTCTCTTCACACCCCTCACCTCTGAGGGTCTCTTCTCACCCCTCACCCGCGAGGGTCTCCTCACACCCCTCACTCCCGAGGGTCTCTTCACAACCCTCACCTCCGAGGTTCTCTTCTCTCCCCTCAACCCTGACGGTCTCTTCTCATCCCACACCCCTCACCCCCAGGGTTTCTTCACACCCCTCACCCGTGAGGGTCTCTTCTGGAGGAGAGCGAGGGCCAGGACCGGGCTGGAGGTGAGCAGGAAACATTTCCTGAACCGAAGCAGGGTGTCTTAGAGTAGCTTAGAAAATAAGAAAAAAAAATTTATTTAAAAAAATAATAAAACCCACCCACGGTCTGAAGAAAATTCAAGGAAATGCTTTGATTTTTTTTTTTTTTTTTTTTTTTTTTAATGTTACATGGCAATAATTGCGTGCTCCGCAGAGACAGCAAAGAGAGAGAGAGCAGCCACTGGGGCCATTTGTTACTTGATTTCTCTTTTTTTAAGTACCCGAAGCTCTGGAATTTTTGCGCTCTTCCTCCTCAACCACAGTCCCAAATTTTGCAGATATTGATGCCTGCTTATGTTTAAACTGCGGCTAACCTTGTAAACCCACTCCCGTGTGTGACCCGTGGGAGGGGGGCTTTTACTATTTCTATGTTTTAAGTGAGAAATGCCAATCCTTTTTTTTTTTTTTTTTTTTTTTTTTGGTCAAATGCACCCAACATCTATCTCCCCGGCGTGTTGGCAGGCGAATGTCAGGAACAACCAGGGCCACGAAAAAAACCCGACCAAAATTCGAGCAGGGAAGTTGTGCCAGACGTAGACCACCAGCATCTGTTTATCATTGTTGGAGCTGCAAGGGGAAAAAAAACATCCTCTGGATCCTGAGCTGCCGGAGCGAAGGGAATGGTTGGTGAGGTGAAGCTGGGGAGGGGGGGATTAGGAGAGTATTAATGAGCGGCTGGAACAAATTAGCGAGGGAGTAGCAGAGACAACAGGAAGGAGTGCGAAAGGCTGGAGAATCCGAGGTGCTGGTGGCAGTTCCCTGCCCGGCGTGGGATGTGTGTGCTCTAGGAACCCACCACAATAATTCATCACACTGAAACACACGGCAACAAAAGCCATTTTGTGCCAAAGTTGGTTGTCCTGCGCTTTCACCCCTTTACAGGATTTTTTAATATTTTTATTTTTGTTAACAGCGTGAGAGTGTGGTTGGAGTGGATCTAGGGAAAGAAGTAAATTAGGCTGACATCATTCACCCTGGTTGGGACCGAGGCTCCTGCTCCCGAGTTACACCCAGGAAACCAGAGGAAGCGGGTTATGGTGTGAGGAGAAAGTGGGAAAGGAGAAAAAGAGGGAGGAAGGAGTGAGTGGAAGGGAAGGAGAAGCCGGCAGAGGAAATGAAGGACGAGGAAACGAAGGATGCGAAAAAAGGGAAGCAAAGTAAAAGCACAATGCACGGTGAATTTGGGGGGAAAGACACGGGAGAGAACCTGAGAAGTTGCTGCAGGGTGAACCAAAGGGAGGCGTTTTGCCCGCATCGGGGCAGAGGAATTTTCACACGTGTCATGCCTCGGAGCTGAGGTGGCACTCGGGGCCAGCACGGGTGGCAGGACACGGCACAGAGAGAGACAGAGAGAGGGAATTGGGGCAGGGAACAAAGAAGGACTCGGGCTGTGGGTAAGATTAAAAATAAGGTTGCTGAGGAAAGGAAAGGAGTGAGCGTGGACGTCCTTGGTCAAGCCACAGGGGTAGCTGAAGTTTGGTACACATCACCCGGAGCAGAACTTTGATCCCAGTGTTTGCTCGCCCTTGGGGAAGGGTGGGATCACCCATCGGGCGGGATGAGTAACTCCTCTGCCGCCGGCAGCCGCGGTATCAGCGGCGCTTTCGCACCAAACTGATAACGGGTGGCGAAATCCTTCCCGGCGAGACAATCCTCCAAAGCTCTCGTTTTGTTTGCCTCAATGGTTTTGGTTGATTTGTTTGTGGTTTACGGGTGGGGGATATGGCTGCGTCAGTGTTGTGTCAGCCCTGTGAGGGGAGAATTTTTCTTCTGGAGAAGGACAATGTTGAGGTGTTCCCTAAAAATGTGATGGCGAGATAGCTGTCTTGTCATTTGGATATGCATCCCGGAACGGGACTTTCGCAGCTGGGAATGCTTTGTTCCCGTTTTCCATGTGATTTATTTGCATCCCTGTGGTTTATTTTGGCCTGAAGGGCCGCCAATGGGTTGTGTGTTCGCAGATCAAATTGTGATTTGGAGCAGAGCGGGATGAACTTCGGCAGGGAGGAGATGGGCCCTGGGGCAAGAGCAGGACGGCCCCGGTGAACGTGAAACGTTAAATGTTAAAAATTCTCTTCACAGGTCTGCCTCCCAAACTACCATTAACATTCAGGTGATGGCTTTGTAATTTTGCTCAGAGATCCTTCCGTGGGAAGCAAGGAATGGCGCTAACCCTTATTTATGGAGCAGGTGAGAAGCGCAGAGCTGGGACCCGCCGGGGCGATGCTCCCCCTGCCCTGGGGGAGGAACTCCGTCCCGAGCTGTGATCCACCAGCACCACGCCAACAAAACCTCACCACCGGAGTGGGGACAAAACTTAGCTTGGGAGGCAGGTAAATTACCACGGAAACCCACCCGAGCAGCGTTCCCAGCTTCGCCGTGTCAGGAATTTTTCCTCGGGGCGGAGGTGCCCGCAGGTTTGCCGGGTACCCCTGCCCTTGCTCCAGTCATTCCGAGCACAAACACTGCTCTCGGCAGGAGCACTTGGATCTCATGAGGCCAGCGCTGTAATTAATGAGATTTGAGGCGCGAGCGCCGAGACAAAATTCGAGTTTCCAATATCAGGAATGAAGATCCAGCCTTTGTTGCAAAAGGGAATGAGGGGTGGCAGTACTTTAAAGCTTCTCAGTCCGACACTGGAAAGGAATTCACAATGTATTTTTAGAGTGTTATAAAAAATCTCTTACATAATGCTGATTAATTCTTCGGTTTTAGGGAAGAGCACAGGGCTTTGTGCATAAGAGTGTTGACCAGCTAAGCCACTGAAAAGGGCTGGTTTGGGCTAGATTTTTTTTCCCCCCCTTTAACTTTTTCTTGGATACAGAAAGCTGCAATTATTCAATTATTACAGGATTTTGCTTTTTGTTTGGGCGTGTTATGAATATTATACTGGAAACTGTGCCTTATTCTTGGAAGTCTTTATCATTTTAAAACATATGTTATGTTATATCACCCTGTCTGAGATATAGGATAGCTCCAAACTGGGTGGTTGTTTTTTTTTTTTTCCCCCTCTCTCTTGCTGCAGCTAGTTAGAGTATGGATTAATGTTAAGGATATCTGCAGTGAAACATTGCTTGTGTAGCTGACTTAAAGAACGTCACATTACAGGATCACAGTTTTATTGATACAGTAATATGTACAATCACTTTGTATTTCTGCCCGTTCTGTTGATCCTCAAAAATCATTGATTAATCCAACCAGCAGGTTTCACACAGCCCTTAACAAAGGGCTATTCAGGAAATTCAGTCAGTAAGTGCTACTCCCTTATTTTAATTCCAGTTATCTATGCTTATTGCTGTGTAACTGGGAAGATTTTTTGGGCAAGATATTGTGGGAGAGAGATGCTTTTGTTTAGTCTTTTTCAACAGATATGTGACCAAGGCAGCTTTGAAGCCTTTTCTGAGGAATCCTTCGTCCTTCTGTAGAATGTTTAATCTTCCTGTGGAGTGTCTAACTATGAGACTCCTTCTGCAGACTTTCATTCTTGTGCCATACAGATGAGCAGGGGTTGCTCAGGTGATTGAACGAGTCTGGAGAATGGAGAGAGCAGGAACACTTAGGTCAAAACAAAATCTTTATTTGCCCCTCTTTTCCGCCAGGGAGGAGGAAAAATAAAAGTAATTATAGCTCAGGGGTAGGGAGGGATAATCCTTGTGGGTCCCTTCCTGCTTGAGATACTCTATGATTCTGGATCTCAAAGAAAGGCTTACCAATAACCCAATAACCCCTTGCACTTTCTGCTTCCAGCAGGAGCCACAATTCCCTCCTGTCTCTGCAGAAGGAGCCAGGGTGATTTCACAGCCTCCTGTCACACAGTTCATCCATGAAGGGGCCAGAGATGGCACAAATGCCATCAGCTGGGAAGCAGAACTTGCCAAGAACAAACCTTCCACGGGTTTATTGCTCTTGCTGGCTGTTCTGGGGCTGTTCACACGCTGCACGTGTGTGCAGTTCAGAATGGGGAAATTATCTGTGCAGGGCACCAAG